AGCTATATATAAGCAAAACACAGTAAACAACACTTAAGGACGAAGCGGCTTGGCCTCACTGACCTCTCCTAGACAACTGGAGGTCTAAAGAAAACCTATCCAGTTACAAAATGGGACAGAGTTCCCATTCAAGCAGGTCACACATACTCAACATGTTACTTGCTCACACATCTGCCTTCCCCTTGTTGTTGTTTAGTTGTTACGTCGTGTCCGACTCTTCATGTCACGCCAAGCCCTCCTGTCTTCCACTGCCTCCCGGAGTTGGGTCAAAGTTGTATTGGTTGATGTATTCGTGAAGGCTTTCACGGCCGGAATCTGATGGTTGTTGTGGGTTTTTCAGGCTCTTTGGCCTCTGAAGTGTCAGGAAGATCAACCTTCAGAATACAGCCAAAGAGCCTGAAAAACCCACAACCATCATGTTGGTCGCTTCGATGACGCTGTCCAGCCATCTTGTCCTCTGTCATCCCCTTCTCCTCTTGCCTTCACACTTTCCCAACATCAGGGTCTTTTCCAGGAAGTCTTCTCTTATGAGATGGCCAAAGTATTGGAGTCTCAGTTTCAGGATCTGTCCTTCCAGGGCCTTCCCCTAGACTAGAGCAATGGGTGTACTCCTCAAAGTCTTTGTCTAGGATGAGATACTACATCAAAAGCTAGCCCTGCACAAGGTGAAGAAAAACTTGGGAACCTCTGATTTGCACCCCATAGTTGCCAGTATGGTCAGATCTTGCTCAGAGGCGCACTGCTTGATTCCCTTACCAACCAACTTAATGCAGATCTACAAGGTAAATCGCAGATGCCTATACTGTCTTTGTTTTCAGCTGCCAAAAAGATTCTAGGTTCGTTTGTAGTCAAGAGATTGAAGCACTCCTTAATTAATCTGTGGAAGTCCTTATTCATGGATACTTTGTATTTTACAGCACCTGTACCTAATAGGGTGAAATAATTATTCAAACATTGCCTTCTCGTTTTATTTAAGCATGGAAGTAAGCGGTGCAAACATATGCCAAAAACTTACAAAGTAAGTTGAGTATTTTGAAAATGAATATATTGAATAGATAAGCCTATTAAAAGGCTCAAGGTTGTTAAAACGGGCACCCAAATCGATGGGGGCGGGGGAACAATGTGTAGCCTGTATAAGTAACTTGTAAACCACCCAGAGAGTGCTTTAAATGCTATGGGGCAGTATATAAGCAGCACACTTTGCTTTTATGTAAAATACAGTATATGACATGGATTGTACCTTCATGAAGCAAAGAGACAGTTTATAATTAATACACTATAATATTACTTATCTAAAAAACATCTCAAACATTTTAAATGAGTTTCAGTAATACAAAATTACAAAGTGATAAATGATGCATCAGAGAATTACTGAGAAATCTGTGAGGTTAAATTGTAGTGGATAAAGTGATCGATTAGGACTCCAGAGAACAGAGTTCGAATCCTTGCTTGGCCATGGAAACTCACTGGGGGAGTGGAGCTGGTAAAACCACTCCTTAAATATCTCATTTACCTTGAAAAGCACTACAGTGGTGCCTCGCTTAACGAATGCACCGTTTAACGACGAATTCGCATAGCAATCTATCTTTTTAGATAGCTAATGCGATCGCATTGCGATGTTCTGAATAGGCAAAACATTGCATTGCGATGTTTTTTTAAACAGCTGATCGGCGGTTCCAAAATGGCCACCGGGTGCCCAAAATGGCCGCCGCAAGTGTTTTCGCACCCTGCCCTTGCTTACCGAGGGCGCGAAAATGGCGGCGCTATGGAGGAACATCGCTGAACTGTCAGTTTGGGAGCCATAGGAATGCATTAAACCAAGTTTAATTTTTCCGTTCCGTTTAGCGATGTTTCTGCATAGCGACGATTAATCCGGAATGGCACCACTGTATTAGGGTCGCTATAATCAGATGTGATTTGACAAGATATAGCAAGAATAAATGTAATATTGTGAGACCAGAGGTGAGGCAATAGAAGACCTCGCCGGAGTGTTGTCCTCAGTTAAAAGAGAACGAGAGACAGACAGCATCTCCGACTACAGGGGCTACAGAGGATGTCTGTGGCTACACAGACTCAGTTAGAAAAGGCGGGAACTCGGGTAGCTGCGAGACCGTTAATAGAGGCGGGGCATGGGGAGGTAAAGGAGGAGAGAGACCGGATACCGGGCGGATGGGAGTGGATCTGGATAGAAGATCCCTGGACAGGGAGGAGGGAGAGAGTTAAGGTGCCTTGGGAGGAGGCTGATTATAGAAGAAGAAAGGGTTTACCCCTCAGACCGTCGTACTGGGGTGAGACAGAGGCAAGGGAGTGGAGGAGACGTTTAAGAGGAAAAAGAGAGTAGAGAAGGAAGAAAGAGAAAGGAGGGCATGGCGACTGGAGGAGGCTCGCCGGAGGAGGTGTTTACCGGACCCTGGGACCCCTATGCTGAGGGAAGCGACCCCTTCGACTTGGAGAGGGGAGATGAAGAGACAATTCCTTTGATTGAGGTGGACGTTGAAGGAAAGGTACCAGGCGAAGTTAACCCGTTTACCAAGGTACCTTGGTATGAACCTAGTTTTAATCCGTTTTATCAAGAAGCATGGACACCCTCGTTATACCCGTTGGTGACGAGAGAAAAGACAAATGACAAGTTGAATGTTGAAACTTCTTTATTTGATATTCCAATAAACCCCAGTTCTGTTTTTCAAGAACAAGAGACTCCTGTATTTGTGTCTGGTAAGCCTGAGGTAGCCACTGAACCCTCACAAATATACACAGTAAAAATGTTGTCAAAAGGGAAAGCACAATATTTATCCATTTCTGTGAGACATATAATATGAAGAATGCTCATCAACCAAAACAGAGCTTCATTTTGGAACAACTGTCTCAATGCAAAAGGAAAAAAGAGATTTGCATCTACAATGATTTAAAACATTGGCTGCAGAAATTGGGCTGTAGTGATTCAAGTATTCCACGAGAAGGCAGCAGAGACTATTAAAGCAGCAAAATGCAACCGAAAAATACTTTTGATAAAGCAAATAGTTTTAAATAAGGCAGGGCAGCAAAGATGGATTAAAAATCCTGTAATATGTTTCTTATGGCATAATGGCCATGGCAAGAGATTAACTGTAGGGGCAAAAACCCAACATAAAATTATGGGCTACAAAGTAATGATTTTTTTTTAAAAAAAAGATAAAATGTTTATTTAATTTATTTATTTGATTTTTATACCACCCATCTGGAGAAATCCACTCTGGGCGGTTTACAATTAAATGTTATTTAAAAGGTAACCACCAGTTAAGCGATGGATACTTTTTACTGAAGTACATTTGATAAATATGATGCCACCTTGACACATGGATAAACATCTAAGGCTAGTAAACAGCAAATAAGAATGCTTAAATGCTTATAGCTTTTGACGTTTTCATTGTCCGAAAAAGAGCATAAATATAAGCTGATCTAGACAAGAATAGAAGGAAGGAATTAGTATAAGATGCTTTGCTAGCTAACATTTTTCCATTTTATGGTATGAGAAAATATCTTACATTAGGGTGTGTCAGTTATTAGAAGACTTGGCTTATGGCTCTTAGAAGAGAGTTACATTCTTTTTATGCGTCCACATTTTCTTCTATTAATTTTTTTTTTGGGGGGGGCTAATAATAGCAATGTTTTGCCTTCTTCGAAGGGATTTTCTATCGTATCTGAAACTTACGAAATAAAAAAGCACAATTTTTTTTCCTCTGGAAGCTGCACCTATTTACAGGAACATTTTACCAAGAAGGGGTTTACCAAGCCCCGCCCTCAGGAAATAAATATAAGGAAAGAAAAAGAGAGGAAGAATTAATCCAGGAATAAACAACCCTATTTAGAGGATGTGGTGGCACTGCAGGTTAAAAAAGAGGTTACTTACCTGTAACTTTGGTTCTTCGAGTGGTACTCTGTGAATTCACACTAAGCCATTGTAAGATCGCATCCACACGACGGAGTGAGCTCCTGTCGCTTGTCCCAGCTCCTGCCAACCTAGCCGTTCGAAAGCATGTAAAAATGTGAGTAGATAAATAGGTACCATCTCGGTGGGAAGGTCACGGCGTTCTGTGTCTAGTTGCGCTGGCCACGGAAACTGTCTACGGACAAACGCTGGTTCTACGGCTTGGAGACGGGGATGAGCACCACCCCCTAGAGTCAGACACAACTGCACTAAATGTCAAGGGGAACCTTTACCCTAAATAACCCTAACCCTTGTGTCCTCTTTAGAGATGGGCACAAACTACTGGTTCAGAAGGGTTCATTTCCCGGCCAAACAGCTGGTTTGGCGCCCCACCCTATCCAGGAGACACCCACTCGGAGGAAGTGTTCCTCTGGGCGCTGCCTGAGTGGATGCCCACTAGAGGGGACAGGGTGCCAAATTGCAGCTCAGCTGTTTGGCTGCTAAACAAAATGTGCCAACCATGGAACCAGTGTTTCGTTCCCATCTCTAATCCACTTACCTGGGAGCCAGCAGGCCTCGCTTCTGAATGAACAGGTGTTAAGGTGGTACTGCTAATCACATCTGTCACCATTTCCTCTTCAAACCACATCGTTACAAATGAAGGCGACCGATTGGGAAATACAAGGTAGGTTTGACATCACCTCCCTATTTTTAAGGGACGTGGTGGCGCTGCGGGCTAAACTGCAGAAGCCTGTGCTGCAGGGTCAGAAGACCACGCAGTCGTAAGATCGAATCCACGCGACAGAGTGAGTGCCCGTCGCTTGTCCCAGCTCCTGCCAACCTAGCGGTTCGAAAGCATGCAAATGCAAGTAGATAAATAGGGACCACCTCGGTGGGAAGGTAACAGTGTTCCATGTCTGTCGCACCGGACATGTGACCATGGAAGATTGTCTTCAGACAAATGCTAGCTCTATGGCTTGGAAACGGGGATGAGCACCGCCCCCTAGAGTCGAACACAACTGGACAAAAATTGTCAAGGGGAACCTTTACCTTTACCTAACCCCCATTTCGCACTTACATTATTGGTGGTACAAGATCTGGAAGAGCACGGACTGCTTTAAAACTGCACAAATGTAACAGCATTCATTTATACATTTGTCTGCGAAGTATCCAGTCAATAGTGGGGCCCCCCTCGTACACGCATTACTGGGAAGAGATCAACCATGCCCAAAGAGGAACACACACGTGTTTACAAAAGCCAAAATAGTTTTTATTCACGTTTCCAGATGTGTGTCCCAACAGACAATTAGCAAACATGCCAAAGCTATAAAAGTCCAGATGGACCAAAAAACCAAAACAGACAAACAAAATCACGTGCAACGCTGATCAAGTTAAAAAGGAACAACTATTACAGGACTGACCCACGCCCCACTCCGGGCTACTGGTTCCATATACGAGGGACGGCATACAGCCACCATGGTAACGTACCACACAGGACTCAGCAACCTGAGGTAGGTCTCTTTACAGTAAGGAAATAAAACTTCCTACACCAGTGTCAAACCCTGATCAGCAGGAGCTTGCTCAAAATTGCAGACTGGAAGGAGAAGAGTGATAAGTTTAGTAACAAACAGGCAGGAAGAAATTTGCACACACGCTGAGTATGGTTATTTGTTACAAATACCAAAGCACCAGAAGAGCTTTCCAGGTGAAGCATTTGTATTATCTAGATCAGTAATTCAGCAGAGGCGAATTCGAAAATGTTTACAGGCAGGACTAGAGAATCCTGATCTTAAAGTTCATTGCTGTAGTTTAGTACTAATTACCATGTAGGGATCCCAAGCCACAGTGTTTGCTCAGCAGAGGGCATTTGCATTTCCTTTCTATAAAATATAAAACCAAACTCTATTGAAAGAGAATGTCAGTACATTCCCTTTATTGCACTGGAGTGAATGATGAGGGGCTGGTAAGATAACCTAAGGCAAAATGTGCGGTTCTTCCCTTACGGCACCCAACAGAGCTTAGGGAAGAAATCAAAAAGAAAAAAAAAACAAGGATCAGAAGTTCCATCAGGAGGAGGAGGAAACCTGGGACGTGGCTGGGCTACTTCTGTGCACCCTGGCAATGTGCTAGAGAGTCTACAGCTATAGCACAACTGCCCACATCCCCCATGTAGGGCCATGACGAAAGGACACAGAAGGACACAACTATTTCATTCCCATCCTGCAATCTGGGAAAATCCGGCACTTGGAGGAAGGCCGGTGGCAGGAGACAAAACAGGCTCCAGCACGGCCCGGCAAAAGCCAGATTCCCAGCACCATAAAACTGTACAAAAATGATAGAAAAGAATATGCACTGGTATTAACACAGCGCTCATTTTAATATAAAATAAACGGTTTACATTTCCACTGTAAATATAGGCTATGTACAGAATTCTGTATAGATATAGCTGCATGTATAAAGCTTCAATATAGGCCTCTTAATACATTTATAATCATGGCTCCCTGAGCCATTTTGTACAGTGCATTTAATAGCAAAAATTAGTAAGAAGAACATGGAATAAATACCATAATAGAAACCATAAAGAATCTTCTTTACAGTACTTCTTGGAAAAAAAGAACTCAGTTTAACCCATGATACCTAAAACATAAAGATGACAAGGCAATAATAGTCTGCTTGGAGAACACAGAGATGGAGGAGGAGGAGGAGGAGGAGAAACCTGCCAAATGCAGAGCATAATACCCTCCTAATTAAAGTGACATTGCCCTGAATTTTAGCCCTTGACAGCAATCTTGTTTTCTGCAGCAGCAAACATGGCATAGAAGCGGGAGTTCTCATTGGACAGGAGTGCAGATGGAGTATCAAATTCCACCACCTAAAGCAGAGAGGGAGGAACAGTTAGTGACGTATAATGTAACCACTGTTAAATCTTCCATTAATGAATGAATGAATGAATGAATGAATTCATTCATTCATTCATTCATTCATTCATTCATTCATTCATTCATTCATTCACTCACTCTGTTGGACTCTCTCTGAGCTCTCCTTTCTTTACTAGCCTCACCTGGTACTCAGATCTTGTCTGGTTCCAGAGAGCCATAGCATGTGCAACAGCCATACCCCACTAGACTACACGACAGACGGGCTAAATGTTAAAATATTTTTGTCCCCCACCCTTTGTGCCCTGAACTGGATCAGCAGCCGGTGGAGCTGCTGTAACAGGGGAATTATGTGATCCTTGTTACCAGCCCTAGTTAACAATCTGACTGCAAATGTTTTGGACCTGCTGAAGATTCTGAACACATTCCAAAGGCAGTCCCACATAGAGGGCATATTTTTAAAACAAAAACAAAAATGTTATTAAAAAGAAATAATACTGAGTAACACTATAAACTCAAACAATTTACACACCTAGTCATACTTGCAAAGCAAAGGAAAAGGAAGTCCTAGCCTCTTGCTTTCGAAAAGATTAGTTAAGCATTAAAAACATCCCTATCAAGAAACAGTTAAAATTCGTCTCCAGTGAAGCAGCATCTTTCACTGCTGAACTGCTTTTTAACTTCAAGATTTCACCTAATATTTAAACCAGATTTTCCTTCTGAGATCTGTCTTGATTATGCAAATGTTACAGACCCCTGTCTCCAGGTGAAATGCTCACTGCAACACAGTTTGAGAGCATGTGGCCTGTATGAATTTGCAGACCGGGGGGAAAAAACCCATGCTAGTTTCATGCTCACCTGTCCTTGCATCAGCACCATGATCCGATCCGAGCCCAAAACTGTATGAAGGCGATGAGCAATCGTCAGCATTGTGCAGTCTGCAAATGCCTCTCTGATGGTCTCCTGGATCAGCAAGTCAGTCTCCGTGTCCATGGCAGCTGTTGCTTCATCCAAGATCAAAATCTAAGGAGCAAGCCATGACTTTGGTTTAAAAAGTAGATACGCGATTCTCTCTGATTCCATCACGACTCAGTGATTAACGGAATGTGAACTAGATTCCACAGAGGTGGAAGACTATTTCCCTTCCAAGCTATTCACATATATACAGTCTGAAAGTTACTTGCTAAGCTGTTTGCACTTCAGATCTCTAGCTCAGGTTAGCCTCAGTTCAGACCTCCAATTTCATTTGACAGACAAGGAGACTCTACTACAGAATTCTGAGCAACAGCTATAGACTTTAGTATAAACTACAAATAGTTCATTATCTTAAGAAAGATCAGCTTTCACTTATACGACAATCCACATGTTCAAAGAACAAATTTGGAAGTATGACTTCCAGTGACTTCAAGGTCTTCAGTAACACACACAGCTAATTATCCCTCCTGAAGAAGAATAGAACCCAATGAAGTAATGCACACGAAGAGATGCATGTATAAACTGGCTTGATTTCCTTGATACTACTTCAGAGCAGACATCTGGGTGTGTTCTTTAAATCAGACATACTATAATTCCACTCATAGTGCAACAGATGTTTCTGAGAAGCTGAGACATGGCAGCATTTCTGGAACAGTAAAACATACTAGACAACATAATAGGTCAATGTCAACAGAATACAGTATGTTCGTCTAGCATGTTTTACTGTTCCAGAAATAACATGCACAATGAACGTAAGACAGTAACAGGCAAAAGGACTTTGATAGTAGTTTGCTACCTAACAGTACCAAAAGTATTTAAAGATAATAGCCCATGTGTGCTTTCCTGCAAAGATAGGCAGAAGGTTGCTTGACCTTCGGGTGATTTGCAGTAGATCAGCAAGAGTCTGGCTCCCTATAGTTTAATAGCAGCAACAATAAAGACTCCTCCTGGCCCTAAATCATCTCTAATGAAGAACGACTGGGGAAAGCCAGGTGCAAAATCCATGCAGATGTGTGTGAAAGGACTGAGAACTCAAAGGTCATAACAATATCATATTCTTGAGCTGAGCCTGCGCCCAGTAGAGGCATTCTGGCCCTAAATTCCAAATGCACTGATGGCCCCACATCATTTTGTGTTTGAGTCTGGCTGAAAGATGTTTAACGATATAACCAAACACAAAGTAGGCCCATCAGCTCTGACCCCTGCCCACTCTTGAGCTAGTCTATGAATAAAATTTATTAAAATGATGATTCAGTGACTAGGCAAACAATGACACAGTTTAGCTCTGTGAATGCTGCCTGAAGAGGAAAGGCTTCCATGTGTTTTACTAATTCCATACCCTCCTGCACTGAGTGCACTGGAAGTCATAGTATTTACTCATAATTTAGAGATAATATATTTACATTTTTTGTTGCATCCTTGTCCCAAAACACATGTTTCCAAATAACTAGACACAATGCTGGCTTTCGCCAGTACGACATGGGATGGAATGGAATAAAGGCACAGAACACTGGATACAAGCAGCAGCAATGAGGTTAGATAAATAGCAATAAGTCGGATATATAAGTAAGGGAAACATGCGAGAGAGATGCAACACCTAAGATTAAACATTAACTTCCTCTACTGCAACCTTTTAAAAGAAAAACTAGGTTTTCCAACAGCCAGAAGTTTCAAAACTATATCGGATTTTATTCATCCAGAGATGCATACAATATACATCCTGGTATTCAGATGCCCTTCCGTGGTGCCACAGGAAAGAAATAAAGATTCTGTAGGTACTTTTTGTCTATACAGAGATCACTCGAAGGGTGAAAGTTCACCAAGCAAACCAAAGTTAAGGATATAGTGGCTAGATGAAAGCGGTGAGAGTGCCCTGTGGAAAGCTGAAAAGCAGATTTCAATTCTGGGTCAGAGGCTGAAACCCATCTGTACATTCTGAATCCAGATAATACTCTGGATGTAAAAAATCCAGAGTATTATTTTTTTATCTACTGTAAAAAATTGTCACTGACATTGTCACGCAGTTCTGTTACATTGTCCTTCGATTTCCTTTCCTTTCAACTTGCTTGATTTTAGCCATAAATCTGCAATCTTCAGCAGAGCCCCTGGTTGTGCGTGCCCACTAGCCTAAGAAGTGAAATTCGTGAATGTACGCTCAGTTGTGACACTTCCAGGAGACCTCACGCTGGCTCCATCCCTGATGAGTTTTCAGTAAATAGCCTAGGATGAACTGTATGGTATAGCAAGAAGTGAAATTCGTGAATGTACGAAAGAAGGCTTTCTCTGCTGCTGCAGCTCAGTTGTGACACTTCCAGGAGACCTCACGCTGGCTCCATCCCTGATGATTTTTCAGTAAATAGCCTAGGATGAACTGTACGGTATAGCCTTTGATGTTTAAAACAGTTTTAAAGCTGGCTGTTAGAGTGCTCTTGATTTATGTTAAAGAATATTAGTTGCAGTCCAAAACTCCTGAGTAACCCAAGGTTAAGAACCAGTGGTATAGCCTTTGGTGTTTAAAACAGTTTTAAAGCTGGCTGTTGGAGTGCTCTTGATTTATGTTAAAGAATATTGGCTTTTAGGATTCATTTTTTTAGAATGGTCCTTTATTTGTTTATAACGTTTTTTATCTTTTTTATTGTTGTGCCTTGCTTCAGAGGCCCTCAAGGGCTGAGAAGTGAGAAATAATAAATACATAAAACCAGATAGTAACTATGTGCAAAATAGTTCTTTTCTGATTGGGCCACTTGCCTTACAACGACGCAGCAACGCTCTGGCAATGCAAAGCAGCTGCCTCTCTCCAACAGAAAAGTTTTCACCATTTTCCATCACCTCAGATTCAAGTTTCATGGGCAGCTGGGAAATCTAAACGAGAACAAGGACAAAGAGAGATGGATCAGTGCCACGGCCCAACATTTTTACAACATCATCTTCTCAAGAGGCAAGTTGTCAGAAAGGTGCAACAACCCAAATACCTCCCTGCCAATGAAAAAAGATCAGCAATGACAAAGAGCCAGGGTTTTCCGTGGATGAATTTCAGAAACCATCAATGTGTCATCTGAGTCTCCCCCAATCAACGGTACAGACAAGAGTTTATTTTAGCACTGGCTTTTATTTATTTATATCTATAATTTCTACTTTTCTAAATCACTTGAAGTGAGGGTTTTTGTTTGTTTTTTACTATGGGCATGCTGTCTTTTAAAGTGATTGCTTTTCCTGGCTGCACAATAGCCCTGTCATATGATGACTGGCAGCAATCTCAGAAATATTACACAGATTGCCTATGCATCTTAGAAGCTGTAACTGAGATTTGTTATGCTGTAGACAATGCTGTCTAAATCACCTTCGACCTTTGTGTTACCCCACATCTGTATGTCCTTCCTTAATCCTGCTTCCACTTATCCAATTGTTTACAAATGTCCATGACCTTTTCGTAAAGACAGTGCCTATAAAACAGGGTGGACAGCTTTTGGGGTTTGGGCTCTGCACCACCTCAACCCATTGCTGCTGCATTTTCCAATGTAGTGGAAGGAAAACCCTATTTTTGTTCCTTTTAAACCAAAGTTGTCAATCCCCTTAGTAGGCATGAGACCCATCTTACCACCAAGTGCTGTACTTACACAGTCCTTCATGTGAGTCCTTTCCAAGGCATCCCAGATTTGCTCCTCACCATACTGTGAGAAAGGATCCAAGTTGGATCTAGGAAAACAAAAATTGCAACAGGAAATGATCAATCATTCCCTTCCTCACAGCATGTACCAAACCGGACAAAACGGGGGCCAAATATACAAGGACAATTGCTGAAGTTAACCAGGCTCAAAAGATATTCAGAAGTTAACGGGAAAGCCATTCCACACTAGTGAATTATTCAACTCTCAAATGCCAAACCTTATGACTTTCTGTTGTCTGCACCGCAGGTTTTAAGAATGCATAAAATAAGAATCAATTGAAAAGCAAAGTAACTGCCAAAAAAAAAAAAACCCTCTCATACCTCTGCTGCATTTAGGCAGGAAATATCTTGTCCCATACAATGTAAATGTTTGAGTAGCATTTAAAACTTTCACTCCATTACTGCACAGGACGAAACGTGGAATGAGGAGTAGCAGCACAGAAGGAGGGGCAACCCACTCCTCCCTGTTTAATGATGGATCATACTAACCTCACAGTACCACTGAATAGCACAGGCTCTTGGGGGATTATGGAAAGTTTGCTCCGGAGATCGGCTAATCCAATATCACTGATTTTCACTCCGTCGATTTTAATGCAACCGCCTGAGAGCTCAACCAAACGAAAGAGAGCCATTCCTAAAGAAGACTTTCCTGAGGAGGGAGACAAGTAGTAATTAAGAGTTTGCTGGTGTTTCAGGTAACCCATAGGATTGGACTGTATGTCATAGTAAACCAGGTTGGCTGAGAGTTCTGGCTTCCTGTGCACAAGCTGTTATGGCCAGAATCATACACCTAAGACCTTCTTCCCTTACCTGACCCTGTTCTCCCCACAATGCCGATCTTCTCCTTGGGTTTGATAGTGAAGCACACTTTCTTGAGAACAAGTGGCAGGTTCTCCCGGTACCGCATTTCCGCATTTTCAAAAATGACCTCTCCTTCCTGGGGCCAGTCTGGAGGGGGAGCCTTGTTCTTAATGCGAGCTGGAGCCTCCAGAGAAAGAGTCTTAGAAATGGCGAGGGGAAGGAAAGAAGAGGAGAAAGAAAATGAGGCCCTAGCTGCAAAAAATATTCCTGAGAATGTCCTACCTTAAGAAGCCACACCTGCATTATGCAGCAGAAAGACAACGGATCAGGAACCGAAATGTGTACGTTGGAGAGCTGGCAGAGGCTAGTGATTACAAAGCGGAAGTCCTAAAGCAAGGGGGAAGAACAGATGGCCCTACAGCAATTGCTAGACTCTAACTCTCACCAGTTTCAGACAACATGGTCAATGGTGCGGAATGGCAGCAAATGCAGTCCTACCTCTGCTAAACAACAGATGCTGCATCTCTTAGAGCAAGGGTTCTCGCAGTAGGAGGGTGTGATAATGGAACTTAAAATGTCCTAGATTCACCTATGTCTTTGCAGAAAACTGCATCCTACCTTTTACGAACTTGTGCTTTGGAATGCTTAAATCCACCAATCTCCCTCCAATCTCCAGTTAAGGAAGAAAGACATCCTACAGGGATAACTGGTTCTTCCCCTTTGGTTTGGGAACAAGACTCCCAGAAGCTTCTGGATTCTTGCTTGGGAGGAAGAGCTCTCTTAGCATTTGTCTTGCTCTCTCCAATGCAGAGAACGTGTTTCCTGGGGGATTCCCTACCATCTCCAACTAATTTCTTAAACAAATCATAACTAATCAATTTAGCTATGGGGGGGGGGAGAGACTTTTATGATAAACAGTACAAATGGGAGGAAGAAACTCTTTATTTTCTATAGGTCTTAGATGCTCATACACATACTCTGACCCTTAACCCTAAGCCAACTTGTCTTGAAGAAAAAGAATAGAACAACTTGGATGTAGTGGTGGACTTTAGACTGACCAAATACCATTCATCTCCTTCAAATGCTACTTACTGCAAGGGGGAAGGGAGGCTCTAGATTCAGGTAACGGAAGGATGGTCAAGCCTTGATTATAGTGCTGTTATGGTAGGCATTATCTGCTTGCACAAGACAGATGCTATACATGGGTACATTTGCACAATTCTTTGTTACCAGGCCCATCTCTCTCTATGTCTCAGGCAATGGCTGAAATCCGGTAACCTACAGGTATGCTACGTAAGTCATCAGCCAGGGCCATATTTGAATAAAACAGTTTCCTATTCCCCTTGTACCACTTGGTTCCTCAGTTCCTTTAGGATTCCTTTGGTCCCAGGGAGCCTCAGAACAGGGTGGGGTGGGGGAGTCTTAAATATCTAAAAATCTCCACTGCCAGTTTGCAGACACTTAAGACATCCTGACCCCATACCACTGCCCCCAAAGAATTTGTACCCCAAAAGCTTCCTCAAGACAAAGGGGATCTGACGAACTGAGCAGAGAGGGGGTAGTGATGGTGGAACAGGAAACTGTTTATCATCAAAAAGCCACAGCTGATGACATCATCAGACCTACGCGGCCTAACAGGATTTCAGCTACTATAGAATGGCCATTTTTCCATTCAATATATTGGCTGCCTGGATGAAAGGCCCTATAGCTTATAAGATGGCAAGCAAAATACATAATGGGAAATTCAAGCCAGCTTTAGCAAGGGACAAAGAGGTCACCCAGGAAACAAGATCAGTTTCACTAAACATCCAACATCACAGGATGTTATCCTCTCAAGTCAGAGGAAGGATTGATTCTGATTATGGAATTCTGGCCGACCATGACATCTGGCCTGTGCCTAAAATATTTAGAACACAAGTCATGGCCTTCTCTGTTAGCCACCTGAGTTAGTTAAAACTACAGTTCGTCGTTTAGTCATGTCCGACTCTTCGTGACCCCATGGACCAGAGCACGCCAGGCCCTCCTATCTTCCACTGCCTCCCGGAGTTGTTTCAAATTCATGTTGGTCACTTCGATGACCCTGTCCAACCATCTCGTCCTCTGTCGTCCTCTTTCTCCTCTTGCCCTCATACTTTCCCATCATCAAGGTCGTTTCCAAGGAGTCTTCTCTTCTCATGAGATGGCCAAAGTATTGGAGCCTCTGCTTCAGGATCCGTCCTTCCAGTAGTAAGCTACAGTTACTAGGATTTAATTGTCTATGCATACACTGGCTTCTCAAATGGGAAAACCTCTCTAACCAAGAGGGTGCCCCAATAACCAAGGGGATTCCAGAAGTCTCTGAAGTGGTCAGAAGATGCCATTTATCATGACCCTGTGTCATCCCTTCTGCGACCAGAGTTTGGAGACGTTGCATTTTTAATTCCAAGGATTGATGCTGAGACATTTTGAGAATTACAGTCTTAAAAAGTAGCTTCTCTAACCTCTATCTATAGTGAGAAAGAGCCCTCCGCAGTAAAATTCAACACTTCTTTTCCATGCATACTGTATGCGCATGGGTGCAGAGAAACACTTTGTTCCTTCTTCAAGCATGGCTCCTGGAGTTCTATGGTCAGCATTTGTTCAAAAAAGAATTTGTACCAACAGAATTCAAAATAGATGTTTCACTTATACCACAAACATCCAAATGTTTATGACCAAGCAATTTGATGACAAGAACAAGTGAAGTCACTATTAGGACGTAGTGAACTGATAGAAGCGCTTTTCTATAAGCAAATGACATAAGAACAGTACAATTAATGAACAAGCAATGGAAAAATGTTTTGAATACCTTGATGTAGTGGTCAATCCTCTCCACAGAGGTGAAGCGGGCCTCTGTTTCTGAAGCCAGCCTGACTGTGAACTGGAACAACCCTGTTAGCTGAAAATCAAACAAAGGATCATTGAGCCCTCTGTACTTCAACTCAGCTCCATGCTTTTATTAGTTTACTTGTTCACTGCCTAGATGTGTACTCCACATCAGTGCCAACGCATCACACTAATGAACAATTTGCCATAAAACAACATAATACAATGCACGGTCTGTGGCCTGGGTTGGACCGGGCTGCAGAGACAGATCTACTACTCCCCCCACATGCACTCTCCCCCCGCAAGCCCCTTTGCGCCTGTGTGCAAGTGCCCCCGCCCTTTGCGCCTGCGTGCGACTGTGTGAGCACCCCTGCTCCTTCGTGCCTGCATAAGCATGCATCGCTGCTGCTTTGCGCATGCACACAGGGTGCCCTGCCTTCCCCAACTGGTCTGCGGTGTTAAAAAGGTTGGGGACCATTGATACAATGCATACAGTGGCATTAACTATGTAGTTTGCTACATAGTTGAATACTGTAATGGAAACATTTTGTTAGGACACAATCCAACACTAGTTTTTTAAGTGATGAAATGATTTACATTCATTTTTTATTTTATTTTATTTTATTTTATTTTATTTTATTTTATTTTATTTTATTTTATTTTATGATAGATAGATAGATAGATAGATAGATAGATAGATAGATAGATAGATAGATAGATAGATAGATAGATAGATAGATAGATAGATAGATGATAGATGATAGATAGATAGATAGATAGATAGATAGATAGATAGATAGATAGATAGATAGATAGATAGATAGATAGATAGATAGATAAAATTTACATTCATTCATTCATTCACATTTATTTATTTCATTTATTTATAGAAGGGATTGGCTATATTCTAAAACCCAACCTTTTCCTTTCTTGGTGCGATTAATTAAGTAACTAATATTTATGTAAAGCACTAAGACAGAGTGCTTTATACTACACGTATAGGCTAAAATTCTTGTGCTGCAAGTCATGCCACATAAGGCCAATTATGTCAGTAGAAGTTGCAATTTTTTCAGAAATAAATCCGGGATCCTTGACGTGCAGCATTTCTGCCTTCAGAGTTTCCTTCCAGCAAATAGAACAGATCCTTCTGCCCATAATCTTACTAATCTTTTCCTCTAAGCTAACATTTACTCTTCTTTGCAGAAAACATATTAATGTTTTATTACTGGCAGCTGCTCCCCTTCCCCCCCCCAAAGAATGCTCATAAATATGACATCATAACAACTAAATCAGCATCTCAGATATCGAACAGACACAGAATATAGCAGAAGGCAGATGGTTAAAAGCGTCTAATACAGAGCTAAACAGCATAGCTTCTGCTGTTAAAACAATTACAACATTCTTGCTTGCCACAGAGCTCAAAAATCCGAGTCGGGAAGCCCTCACCTGAACTGCATAGGAGATGGCTAGCCCTGCATAGGCAGGGGGGATCTTTCCATGCATGAGGACAATCATTAAGCCGGTGGTTGTGATGAGGACAATGCTGACGATGTCCAATCTGACCGCTAACCAACGCATTGCACAGCTGAATAAATAGAGTGGTGCCTGGTTGTTGTCTAGCAGTTCTTGATATCTAGAAGGGACACAAAATGTCTAGTAACAGAAATGCTAACCAAGCACAGTGCAGTCCTCCAGATGTTGATGGGATGCAATCCACTGCCCCCGCCCAGCCTTCCCCACCACTGGCTATGCTCCCTAGGGTGGATGGAAGTTGCAGTCCGACACCATCTAGAAGAATGTATTTCATGTACCCTCTTGGTATACCTTCTGGTATCTTGCCTTATAATCTGACCACCGCCCAATTACAGCAGATAGAATCTGAACCCCAGCATCAAACCAACACTGTATTTCAAGGAAGAGGCACTGACCTATGAAGGAATTCTTGCCCTTTATTGTAGGCATGGATTGTAGACAGGCCTTGTATGCTTGATGTGATGTGTGAAAGGAATGGAGATTGCGTAATATTGTCCAGGCGCTTCAACTCTCGAATGAAGACCCTACAGACAAAAGGGAATTCAACAGGCTTGAGAAAAATGACACCGCAAAAGGTTCAGATCACGACACTGGTAGACCACATGTTCAGTGATTCCCAGCACCGTGTCCTCCTGCTCAGAGGCAGTAGCCGGAGGAGGTGTGGCAGGGAAGCACCGAACTATCTTTCGGCTAAAGGACAAACCAGCACGAACCCCCAGTTCAGTGGTTCAGGCCCATCTCTAAACGTGACCAAAAAATATCTCTAAACCAGTAACAGCTCTTTACCTAGAGACAACATGGAGGATTGTAAAAAGGACGACAAGAGGCCCAACTGCCATTAGGAACCATGGGAAGACACCTGAGATAACTCCCACACAGAAGAACACCAGGATGACGTTCTGTATGAACATTTCAGCTTGAAATGGCAGACGGACATCAACTGGAAGAGATGGACAGAGATGGTGGTCTTCACGTAGGAAATGAAACACAGAAGTTCTGACCCAGTTGGCTAATAGTCTATATACATGCAACAAAATAAGCACTCCTAGTTAAACTCCCTTTCAGGAATTCAGATTCTGCTTCTATGCCGGGAATAGAAATAGCAAGGATCTTAACCACCCCATACACTTCTGCAATTTGTGCGATTCTGCCCCTAGAACAAAAAACAGCAGGCTGAAAAAGCCTATGAGAGGTGCCTCCTCAGACTGTACCACTCCAATGTACGCATATTTCTATTTATCGTAACATGGATTGCATGTGATCTGAACTGTTTTCTGCAAAATCCTATTCTAAGTATAGTTGCAAGGAATGAAAATAACACATATTGAGTGTTTCTCCTGTATTTTAAACTGGCTCTTGTAGGAGGGTGATTTTTTTTCCCTGATCATGGGTATTAAAATCGAATCATTAAACAAGAACAATTACCTTCATCCATATCTTTGGAGAACCGATTGAGAACCCTCCCTGTAGGTGTTGTGTCAAAAAATTTCATAGGGCTACGAAGAATTCGTCGGAATAGCTCGTCATGGAGCCTGGAAGACGCTCGCAATGTTCCCTGGAAGAACAGGAAAGTGAGATGACTGGAATCAAGCCGGGACGTGGGACACAAGCAGTTGCAAGTTTCTAATGCAACTTCATAAACCATCATTGATTTCCTCACCAACTTCTCTCAAAAGAAGAGGCCAGGATATTGCCGTCTCTAGACAAGTAAAATTCCAAGAGAAATAGCAGACTGTGCAAAGGAACAGCCCAAGGAAACGTTTTGATCAATCACCAAAATACGTATTTTTCCGTGTACAGTGGTGCCTCGCACAACGATTGCTTCATACAACGATGAATTCACACAGCGATGGGTTTCTTTGAGGAATTTCCCCCATCGTTTAACGATGTTCTCTAGGGGGGAATTTCACTTAACGATGTCCCTTTTTCGCTCCTGTAAAAGTGTCTTAAACTGTTAGAAACCTGTTTTAAATGCTTGCAATCGTTAGCCCACCTCCTGAACCCTATGCAAACTTAATTTGGTGTTGTTCTGAGTCGTTGTTAATTTTTGATTTTTTTAAATTTTCCATTGAAAGCCTCTGAATGGTACGTTCAAAGGCTTTCAATGGAGAAAACAAAAAATCACCAAAAATTAACGACGACTCAGAACAACACCAAATTAAGGTTGCATAGGATTCAGGAGGTGGGCTAACGATTGCAACCATTTAAAACAGGTTCCAAACATTGTAAGACACTTAAAAATGAGCGAAAACGGACATCGGAAAGGACTTCAAAAGCACTGAAGCCGGCTTCAGTGCTTTGAAGCTCTTCCGTTTTCGCTCATTTTTAAGTGTCTTACAATGTTTGGAAC